TTCTTTCTTTCTTTCTTTCTTTCTTTCTTTCTTTCTTTCTTTCTTGTCCTTCTTTCTGTCTCCCCCCACCCCGTCCCTCCCCTCCTTGTGACACAAGGTCTCTTGTAGCTGTCTAGCCAAGGATATGACCTTGAACTTCTGCCTGTACCTCTTGAGCACCAGGATTCTAGGCACCACCATGCCAGGTTTATGAAGTGCTGGGGATCCAATCCAGGGCTTCCTGTATGCACTAGGCAAGAGTTCTATGGACTGCACTACACCCCCACGCAGTGCTAAATTTATATTCTGTCTTTTAATTTTTTTTTTTTTGGTCTTTTTGAACACCCCCACGCAGTGCTAAATTTATATTCTGTCTTTTAATTTTTTTTTTTTTTTTGGTCTTTTTGAAACAGGGTCTCCTTGAAGCCCCAGCTGTCCTGGAACTCACTATGTAGACCAGGCTGGCCTTGAACTCACAGAGATCTGCCTGCCTCTGCCTCCCGAGTGCTGGGATTAAAGCCATGCGCCACCACCCTCTGCTTGTCTTTTAAATTTTTACTTTCAGGGTTGGCAAGATGGCCCAGCGGGTAAAGGCATTTGCTGCCAAGCCTGAGGACCTGAGGTGGATCCATAGATCCTGTATAGTGGAAGGAGAGAACTGACTCCTGAAAGGGGTCCTCTGACCTTTACATGTATGTGCAGTGGTCCTCTGACCTTCACATGTATGTGCAGGGCACATGTGACCCTTCCCTGAAAAATAAATAAACAAAAGTAAAAGTATAAACAAAATTCCCCATTCAATATCACCCATTCTTTCCTTCTTCACCTGACTGGGTCTGTGCTGAAATCTTTCAGTCAAATTCACCTTTCAATCTAATTATTGGCTCAATGAGTTCTCACCACACACTGTGTTCACATTCTTACAAACTTATGTTACAAACTTACAAGCAAATGTGAATAACTTCTTTCTGGGCTTCAAGTTAATTTTTTTTTTTTTTCTAGTTCTCTTTCTCTCCCCCTCCTTTCCTTCCTCTCTTCTCTCTTCCTGTCTCTCTCCCTCCCTCCCCTCCTTCTCTCCCTCCCTCCCCCTCTTTCTCCCTCCCTCTTTCTTTCTCCTCCCTTCCCACCTCCCTCCCCTCATTCCTCTCCCCTCCCCCATCCCTCCTTGTCCCTTCCTAGCCCACTGTCCCTAGCCCACTGTGTTTATTTTCACATCCTTGATGGCCATTTCTGCCTGGGTCTGACTGGACAGCCTGGACGAATCCTTGGCTCCCTTCCCACCCGGCTCCATGAGATTCCTTTCTGAGCAAAGGTTGTGATCTCAGAACTTTTCTTTTTATTTTCTGGAAGTTCTATGACCCTGGGGCCCTGAGTTTAGGGTTAAAACTGTGTGAAGCCCACTTTTATTTTCTGGAATCTTTTCTTTCCCTAACCATTTGCTTTTTAAGTGTGGCATTAGTTTCTGCGTGTCCTTCCATTGTCTCTGGTGAATAGATGCCCAAGGACATTCTTAAATCTGTATTCTGCTCAACACATAAAAGTGTTGAGGAAATTCTTTATTTCCTTTCATTCCACATTTTCAGAAGTTGAAAGCCAGAAGCTGGAATTATAGGACAGGGAACTAAATAAAAAACTAACAAGTCAAAGATCCACCTGCCTCTGCCTCCCAAGTGCGGGAGTTAAAGCTTAGCCTGTGCCACCACGCCCAACATGACCTTTTCTTTCTTAATTTAAGGAGCACCCTGTTAGGCTATAAGGAGACTGTTTTATAGGGGAAGGAGGATGGGACCGAGTATTAGACAACCTTAGCCTTCAGGCCCAATTCCACCCTCTGCAGCTGCAGTTGAGCAAGCTGTGAGCTTCCTGACCTCGGGTTCCTCTGCTGTGTGAGAAGTGAGTGGGTCACACAACTGCCTGAGGCTCAGTGATATGGTTCCAAGAGTTCATGGAAAGGGTTTGAGCTGGGTGTGGTGGTGCAGGCCTGCAGTAGCAGCCCTAAGAGGCTGAGGCAGGAAGATTGTGAGTTCAAGGCCAGCGTGGGCTATGAAGTGAGACACAAAACACCACTGAGAGAGGACAGAGAGGAGAGAGAGGAGAGAGAGAGAGAGAGAGAGAGAGAGAGAGAGAGAGAGAGAGAGAGAGAGAGAGAGACAGAAACAGAGAGAGAGAGAGAGAGAGAGAGAGAGAGAGAGAAAGACAGAGACAGAAAAACAGAGACAGAGACAGAGAGAACTACTCCAGGCTAAGGCTTACTTAGTAAGTAGCAAAGTGCTCTGTGGTGACTGTTAAGCACTGTTGCTTCCGCATCCCTCCTCCTAGAAACCACCATAGAGAGAGTTAGCTAAGACATTGTTAGGGTGAGGGGGGTGTCTTTGATTAAGCTGGCAGACCGGCTCAGTGTTCACATCCTGTCTTCCCTGCTGTGACAAGGCAGGCAGGAGTACCCCTAGTCTGACAAGCATTTTTAGCTCCTTTCTTGATGCCTGTTTCCGTGGGGAATCAGTAGCTTTAAATATTTTGACACCCAGAGACAAGCAACTAAATATCTTTACCTTCTGTGTTTTTGTAAACATTGGTAAACCGCCCTAGTGATCTTTGCATTGAGGGGCGGCTAACAGTGTCAATCATATTTTAATTTTTTTATCATTCCTGGATTTTAAGAGATTTACACTGTTGTTTTGACCGAGGTTATTTTCAAAATAAATACATAAAAAATACACTCTCTACTGCTCCGACAGGTCGAAAGTCTGAGCACAGTGAACAGTGAGTCTTGTTTATTGTACAGCTTGACCTGAACCTTCAGACCCGACAACTTCGTTATCAGTTTTATTTTGAAAACTAAATTTTATTTCTTCATCCTACAGCCTTACTCAATTTTTATACTTCTCTTTTAAATATGCATATATTAAACATGAGTTGTTACATGAGATCGGGTTTCGCAGCCTCATAGATGCTGGAAGGGGAAGAAATTCATTGACATAGTGTTTTTGCATCCCTTGTCACTCACGCTTCCAAAGGATCCTTGGTCCGTGTGGAGTAGACGCAGTATTCGGTTGAGGAGT